TTCCTTCTTTCTCTCCCTTCCCTTTCTCCTTTCCCTCTTTCCTTTCCTTCCTTCCCTTTCTCTCCTTTCCCTCTTCCTTCCTTTTTCTTTCTCCTTCCTTCCTTCCCTTTCTCTCCCTTCCTTCCCTTTCTCCTTTCCCTTTCTCTTTTCTTTCCTTCCTTCCCTTTCTCTCCTTTCCCTCTTCCTTCCTTCTTCTTTCTCCTTCCTTCCTTCCCCTTCAATTCCTTCCTTCCCTCTTTGTCTCCCTTCCTTCCCTTTCTCCTTTCCCTCTTTCTCTTTTCTTTCCTTCCTTCCCTTTCTCTCCTTCCTCCTTCCCTCCCTAATTTCTACCTCTATGGGAGGGAGCAATGCCAGCTAAAAACCAACCCACTCCTCCAAAATTGCATGGGGTTCAAAGATGCCAAGGGGCTTTTTCAAAGGGCCCGTCCATTCTGCCAGGCCAGAACAGAGGTGTTGTGCAACGGCAGCCACCATGGTTTATAAGCCACAATTCATAGCTTGGCGCTATACACAACTCTTGGTGTCAGGGGTCTCTCCAAAGTGGGCAGCCACCATCATGCATCCCAAGCCCCATCCCTTTTTTACGCACATCGCAACGGACGTAAAAATGGGTGGGGCCCCAATTGCATGGCTGTGGCTGCCATCTTGACCTTTTTGACCTCCTCCTTGCAGACACCCTCACTCAGTTTTTTGGAGCCGCCTCCGGCTGGCTTCCCACATCCCACAACGCCCGTTTGGCCCAATGCCATATGGTAAAGGAACCACAACTTGCCCAATTCGCACGCTGCACTAAAACAGAGCCAAATAATTGGCAGCACTTTGTCACGGGCCCAGCCGTCTGTCTCTTAACAGGGTTGGGACGGAGGTGGAATCGGAGAGAGGAAGACGCTGCCTTGGGGAGAAATCACAGATCAAATTAAATAACAAAGGGGGAAAAAATCATTTTCTACCCTGACTTGAAAAACCTCCTCGCCCAACTTTCGGTGCCATCTTGCCAAACATTGCAAAATGCAACACAAGGATTGGCACTTTGCTCTCACGTGTGCCAAAGGGAGTGAACGTATTCACAACAGGCAGGAAATAAATAAACCCCCAGCCTGACGCCAAGACGCTTTTTAATTGCTCCTAGAGAACTTTGATCTGATCAACTTTTCCTTTTGAAAAATAAAACACCCTCGTTTAAAATAGGAGCACCCAACATCTGACAGGCTGAGGGCCATATATCTGTAAGATTACTGGGCCGTGCTCCAAAAAATAAAATATAAAATATGGGGTGAGGGCCAACAAGCGAACAACACTAGGACAAACCTAAATTGGATTGTTTTTACGGGCAATCCCCATTTTATAAAGGTGCCTGAATTTTGCAAAGATCTCAGATCCAATCCTGAAGTTAAGACTCACTTTCAAAAGCTATCCAATTTGTTAATCATTATTTAAATTGGGGGTTACTTTTTGGGAGAGGGTAGCCCGGGACCCACACTGGATTTTTACAAGGGTTTTAAAAAGGGACAGGATGAGAAACCATGCAGAAACCCAGAACTGTGATTTTATTTACTGAAAAACACTTCCCAAAACTGGCATTTAACTAGGTAATTCTGGGGGCCCGATTGCAGGAAGTTTGAGACGGCAGACAGAAAATGTGTTTTGGCTCATCACCAAATTCTGCACCTATTTTTTTTGCCTACTGAAGGCAACTGCCTTGCTATTCTGGCATTGTGGGGTGCAGGGGGACAGAACCCCCAAACAATTGCCCTACTTCTGCACTTTAAAATGAACTTTCTTGCATCACATGGACAGCATCAATGCATTTTTGGTGCCAATGAATTTCCTAAGTTATGAAATTCACTGCAGTGCAATGAATAAAGCCGTGTTTCTCAACCTTGGCCACGTTAAGCTGTGTGGACTTCAACTCCCAGAATTCCCCAGCCAGCCATGCTGGCTGGGGAATTCTGGGAGTTGAAGTCCACACCTTTTAGAGTTGCCAAGGTTGAAAAACACTGATCCAACCATTCTCAAGCACATTTTAAAAAAGCAAAGAAGAAAAACATTCACTATGAAATACAGAACCTAAATCTCCATGGATGTGGCCAGAGAACTTCCAAAAGTTGTCTCCAAATTAGACATTTTTATAGGGCAGAATTAGATGTAATTCAGATGTCTTAAAGCTGCCAAGGTTGAGAAACAGTGGATTAAAGTTAAAGGGCTTAGATGGGAAGATTCGAGTCAGGTGAGTCCTCAACCATGAAAATGCACCAGAAGATTCAAAGCCAGGGACTCGGAGCCCAACCAACCTCACAGGGAGGTTGTTGCCGCGAAAAATCAGAGGAGCCAGCGTTCCATCGTACAAAAAGCAGGAAGTTCACTTTGCAGGGCATTTTGGAGGAACTCCGTATGTCATGCCGAGAAAAAGGATTTGAACCTAACCCAAATCAGCGGATTCACATAGAGAGATAACAGAAAGCAGCACGGAGAATATATTTATCCAGGAGACACCATCCAACTGCAAAGAACCAGCAAATAAACACAGACTTAAGGAGATTCTGTCCGGATGTTTGAGTCAGATAGATTTTGGGATCTAAAAAAACCACATTGCTGGAGAAGAAAAGTCTCTAAACCAGTGTTTCTCAACTTTGGGAACTTTAAGATGGGTGGACTTCAACTCCCAGAATTCCCCAGCCAGCACAGAATCCGGGGAGTTGAAGTCCACCCATCTTAAAGTTCCCAAAGTTGAGAAACACTGGTTTAGAGACTTTTCTTCTCCAGCAATGTGGTTTTTTTAGATCCCAAAATCTATCT